GCCACTATTCGGCGAAGTAGTGGAGGTGGTAGTTGTGGAAGCAGCAGCACTTCCACTCTGACTGTACCGACCCGAGGCGACGTCCTGGAGGACCTGGGTGCTGGTGAAAAAAATTTTAAAAAGAAGGATTAGCTTTCAAACACATCAGCATCAAATCCCGTCGTCCACTGAGTCAAACTTACATCGACCCCACATCGGCGCCGACGATGCCGGTCAGCGTCTCATAGGCTCGCTGAATGTCGTTCACAGCCTGAGAAAGAAAGAAAAAGTGGAAAAATGGGCACACATTAGTACTTTAAAATATTAATAAGATGAGAGATAAGGTGAGCAGAGCAGCTCACCTGCATCGCCGCCGGGTTCGAGAGGATGCGCTCGACGTTGGCGCTTCGAGAGCCAGCAGAGCCAGCACCACCAGCTGCGCCCTGGCTAAAGGAGCGCATAATGTTCTGCATCAGTGCAGCGTCGGGCATTCCCCCAGCTCCTGCACCACCAGCACCGCCCAGCAGCGGATTGGCCGTCATTAGCTGACTCATCAGATTAGGATCGCTGGAGAGGCTCTAGAGAGTGAGAGAGAAAGAGAAAAAGAAGGTAATCGGATTAGAACAAAGTTTTTAATGAAAAATCAAAGCAAAAGCCTACCTGCATCATATTCTGCATCATCGGACTGCTCATCAGGTTCTGCAGCATGCCCGGGTTGGCCGCCATCTGCTCCATCATCGACTGCATCGCCGGCGAGTTGAGCATGCCGCCGAGGTTGGGCAGTCCACCGCCGAGGCCGGCTCGGGCACCAGCTCCCGCCGAAGCTCCCGATGAGCCACCGCCGTTGTTGTTATTCGCCGCATTCGCCGACCGGTCCCAGGGATTGGGCAGCGGCTCGCGGTTCTCGGTGTTGCTGGGCGAAGCCGAGCCAGTCGTCCCGGCGGTTCCGCCCGAGGAGTTGGGGGCAAAGGAGTTGGCGCCAAACTGCTCCTGGGCGGCGTTCAGCATTGGCTCCTGAAACTCGGTGTACATCCGCCGGAGGGCATTGTAGCCGCCGGGCAGGCTCTCCAGGTTGGAGAGGGCGCGGTCGTGGGAGCGCATCAGCTCCTGGAACTGAAATTGGAGAAAGGATTTTAGAAATAAGAAAAACTAAGTAGAAAGCTTACCGCCGCCGGATTGCGCATCATGTCAAAGGTCTGCCGGAGAATCTCCGGATTGGAAAGGACGTGGTTAAGCTCGGGATTGCGCTCAATCAGCTGCTGAAACTGCGGATTGCTGGTGATGATGGAGCGGAAGATCTCCGGATTCGAGTAGAGGTTCTGCATCAGCGGATTGTCCAGCATGGAGCGCATGAACTCCGGGTTGTTCATCTGCGCCGCCAGCTGGGCGTTCATGTCGCCGAAAGGCAGGCCTCCGCCGCCGCCGCCGCCTGCTCCTGCACCTGCGGCTCCAGCAAGACCACCGCCGCCCATCAAATCCTGGAAGAGGGAAAAGGGATTTGCAGCGGCGGCGTTTGGGGCTCCTGCTGCTCCCGTTTGGGATGAAGGAGCAGTGGNGGGCAGGCCACCGCCGCCGCCTGCTCCTGCACCTGCGGCTCCAGCAAGACCACCGCCGCCCATCAAATCCTGGAAGATGGAAAAGGGATTTGCAGCGGCGGCGTTTGGGGCAGCTCCTACTCCCGTTTGGGATGAGGGAGCAGTGGTGGTGGTGGTGGTGGCGGCCCCAAAGAGGCCCCTCGAGGCAGAAGTGGTCGAAACGGAGGAGGAGGAGGAGGCGGCAGAGGAGGAATCGCCGCTGGATGGGCCCTTGTTGTTTAACTAGAAAAAGCGAA